GGCCGGGCGTGGCCACGTTGAGAGCTGTCTCCTAGTTCTTTCTTATGCTCCAACCCTCCTCGGCAGCCGGCAGGGCCGTTGGCCAGGCTCCAAAGCCCTTCCCGGGACCTTTGGCTGCAGATGCCTGCACCGCACCCTTGGCTGCCAAAGCCGGGCCTGGCACGGGCGTGGCCACGTCGAGAGCTGTCTCCCAGTTCTTTCTTATGGGTTTCGAAGGTGACGTTAGGGAGTCCGGCCTCAAACCCTCCTCGGCAGCCGGCAGGGCCGTTGGCCAGGCTCCAAAGCCCTTTCCGGGACCTTTGGCTGCAGATGCCTGCGCCGCAGCCTTGGCTGCCGAAGCCGGGCCGTTTGTCGAGCATTGTTTTCCTGACGGTGTCGTGTGTGTGGCCTGAACGCGCTGACCACACCACACTGTGGCATGCGGGGCACCTGTGCGGATGCTGGCGTGTCTCTGCGCTCACAGAGCCTTCTTTGACCCAAAACTGGTTGCCGGACGCTGCCGGATAAGCGTCTCAGAGCCACACTACTGGCGAATACGGGACCCCGACTTGGACCCCTGTCTTCAACCGCCCCTTCGGTTCTACATCTCCCGGCCATAACTGGGGGGGGTTGATGAATCAACAGTCAACCGTGAGGGGTGATGATCTCTTCATGCTGGGAAGAAATGGCGCCCAAAGCCCTTCCATTGAAGAAAATGGGCGCGGACATGACTCATGTGACCTTGGCGGACTTCTCCTCATGCTCAACTGTACTTGTGAAGATCCAGGCCACGTGCCAAAGAATACAACCCCATTCGCAACAGCCGGAATGTGCGGTGAAGCCTCCATCAATCCTTCTAGGACTTGAAGCACCCTTCACACTCTTCATTGGTATCTTCTTGAGGCTACCTCCATTCCTATAAATTTGCCACCGTGACCGATGTCGTGTCCGTCTGCACTGTTGTATGCTCATTGCTGCTGCCTCCATTCCTATAAATTTACCACCGTGACCGATGTCGTGTGCGTCTGCACTGTTGTGTGCGTGCGTCTGCACTGTTGTATGCTAATAGCTGCTACCTCCATTGTTGTATCCTAGTAGCTGCTACCTCCATTCCTCTAAATTTGCCACCGTGACCGATGTCGTGTGCGTCTGCACTCTGGTCTGCTCATTGCTGCTACCTCCATTCCTATAAATTTGCCACCGTGACCGCTGTCGTGTACGTCTGCACTCTTGTCGGCTCATAGCTGCTACCTCCATTCCTATAAATTTGCCACCGTGACCACTGTCGTCCGCGTCTGCACTGTTGTATCCTCATAGCTGCTACCTCCCTTCCTCTAAATTTGCCACCGTGACCAATGTCGTGTGCGTCTGCACTGTTCTGTGCGTGCGTCTGCACTGTTGTATGCTGCTAGCTGCTACCTCCATTCCTATAAATTTGCCACCGTGACCGCTGTCGTGTCCGTCTGCACTGTTGTCTGCTAATAGCTGCTACCTCCATTCCTATCAAGTTGCCACCGTGACCGATGTCGTGTGCGTCTGCACTGTTGTATGCTAATAGCTGCTACCTCCATTCCTATAAATTTGCCACCGTGCCCGCTGTCGTGTACGTCTGCACTCTTGTATGCTAATAGCTGCTACCTCCATTCCTATAAATTTGCCACTGTGACCGCTGTCGTACGCGTCTGCACTGTTGTATGCTAATAGCTGCTACCTCCATTCCTCTAAATTTGCCACCATGACCGATGTCGTGTGCGTCTGCACTGTTGTATGCTCATTGCTGCTACCTCCACTCCTATACATTTGCCACCGTGACCGATGTCGTGTGCGTCTGCACTGTTCTGTGCGTGCCTCTGCACTGTTGTATGCTAATAGCTGCTACCTCCATTCCTCTAAATTTGCCACCGTGACCGATGTCGTGTGCGTCTGCACTGTTGTACCTCCATTCCTCTAAATTTGCCACCGTGACCGATGTCGTGTGCGTCTGCACTGTGGTATGCTCATTGCTGCTACCTCCATTCCTCTAAATTTGCCACCGTGACCGATGTCGTGTGCATCTGCACTGTTGTATGCTACTAGCTGCTACTTCCATTCCTATAAATTTGCCACCGTCGGCGATCTCGTGCCTTATCCCCGGGGTCGGCGGCAGGGGGCGGAGCCCTTACAATATATATTATATTATATATATATGACCGCATTTTTATTGGAAGGATTTGGGAGGAGCCATTGGGCTCCCATTGGAGTCCATTCGGGGACTCAGATGAGAGAATGGACAAAAAGAATCGCAACAGGTGTTCCAGGTCATAAAAAGAAACACATGAGAGTTCATGATGATTCGTGTGTCATAAAATGTCGTACATGTGCTGTATGTGGCTTGGTACATCTTAAGTGCTCAAGGAGGCAGGTTGAGTCCCCAGCCGCTTCAGCGCGTGGGTAGAGGAAGAAAGGCGTGGAGATCCGGTGCTGGCGATGGCCGGCCCGACCGACGAACGCAAAGGCACAGGCAACGTCATGAAAACGCAACTACTGCAAATTCCAGACTACTGCCCTGAATGATCGACCTGTGATTGTGCTAATTTTTTGTTTGCTTTCTGTCGGGGGAGCCACGGATGGTATGAAGCATGTCTGCAGCATGTAAGATCTTGGATGCTACTTGAGTCCTCACTATTTACACCAGTGCGGGTGCTGCCTGGCGTAGCTGAAACCATCGAGATAGCTGGCTGGTCTTTTAACACACACACACACACACACGTCGCTCCTTCGTGTAGGATCACCCACCGAGTTGGGGAATTCCAAAATATATACACTCCCTGGAACTAACATGGAAGTGGACAATGATCTCTTGGAAGACCATGTTCCTCTACAAACAGGGGGTTTTCCACTTCCATGTTAGTTCCAGGGAGTGTATGTTTCCTTGAGTTGAGTTATATGAAGGTGACTCAAATCCCCCCACCAATCCATGGTTTCGACATCCCGTCTTTGGGATCTGTTCATTGGTCAACTGGGTCACCGGGTGCCATGACCCACGAACTGGAGGAGTTCAGCCTATCCCAACAAGGTGATTGGGCTCTGAAGCTGGGGAGCTGATGATCCTTTTACCACATCCACATGCTGGATGTTTACAGAACTCTGGCTGCTCTGGCCCAACGATAAAGCATGTAACAATTATAACACATAGAAAAAGCTGACTGGACTCCGAGGACCTTCAAAGTGATTGATATCCCGGTTTAAGGTTTTGATATGATCTAGGCCGCCTAGGCCAGAGGATCCAGAGGCTTTGAAGAGGTCACCAACTGAAGGTCCTGGTCCAGGCCTCTCTTCATGTCTAACTCCGGACTCCTTCAATTCCACGTCCAAGGGCCCTAAACGGTTCAACGGACCCATCTTCCAAAAAAGGCACCATCGTCTGCCTTTTGGAGGAATCCCTGATTACATCTGATTGCTATACCACGATACACCCATTCACCGATCTTTGCTGTCCCGTCGGCCCTCATGCCTCTCCACTGCCTCCGCCTGATGCTTTTTGGGCGCACGGACTGCTCCACCACCGCTCGACCGAGTCCCGAGTTTCAACTGCAGACTCCCATGTTGCGGGCAATTGTGCCGCAAACAGAATCATCCTCCTTGGATTTGATGTCCAGGAACTGAGTAACTGGGAGAAAACTCAAAACATATTTCCCAGAAAGGGATTCACATCATAGGGAACATCGGATATTGCCCTAGGCCCTAAGCAAAACCCCGTCATTCACTGGACACAAAATGCCGCAACTTCATTGGTCAAATATTTGCTCCAAGTGGAAATGACGAACGGCATCCTTCCACACCAAGTGCAGCATCACCAAATGCAAGAAGTTCAACACGTAACAGCTCACCCATCCGCCCCGACAGCAAGCAATTCACCCCCTGCCGATCCGTCTGAACTACGAAGTGGCATGACGGTCGTGTGGGGGGGGTGAAACATGGTGAACAACACAAAACAAACATCCAGCATTTGTGGATGTTTCCGAAGAACACATCGCCACTTGGACGAGAACACACAGTGACCGGCCCAAACCGCCGGCCTTTGCTTTGGCCGCAAACCGCCGGCCTGGCGAGTCAGGAGCGGTTTGCGAGTCATGTGAATCATGTAGGCATATCTACCGTTTTTCGTTGGGTAGAGCAAACAGGTATACAAATGCAAATAAGAGCAAGGGAAAGTTCAAAGGATGAGACAATGGCAAAGGATGAGACAAGGCATCGCCAAACTCAAGGAAAATTACGTAACATAAAAACGACAAAGAAAAAAAACAAATCAGACCAACCAAACCACTGACACATATATTAGCGTTTACTGTTGCTATTTTTGTGGGTGATTTTCATTGAGTTGTGTTATATTGTGCTTATTACTAATTTGCCGTTGTTTTGCAAGTGTGATGTTCAATGATCTGCCTGTTTGTTTGAGTTGTTGGTTGGTGGAGGGGGCTCAGGTTGGGGCACTCTGAAGCACTTGGTCATGTCTAGTTACCGTTCACAGCCTAGGCCCTTTGCAGGAGAAGGGTCTAGATAGGCGTTCTTCCTTGGTTGAAGCACAGGCTGCTTTACAGTTCGTTTAAAAGGCTCCACGACTCATCTTCTGCCTGGAACCGTAGGGTCCCTGGAGCCTGTCTGCACTTCATTCAGTCAATTCCCCAACAAAAATACAAATGATATGATATTGTATGACATATGATTTTTGAATAGATCAAAGAGACCTCCCGAACACTCCTAAGAAGATCAAACATCATTGGTAGGAAGGTCTCGCCCTTCAAATACCAACCGCCCGTATGTCAGCCCGCCAACTGGAACTCCGGCTGTCGCATGAGTTTTCTGACAAGCATTGACTGTAAGCACTGTGCATGCTGTTGCAAAGGGTCAACCCTCAAACAGCCTGGGTGTGCAAAATATAACCATGCACAGTTCAACAAAACCCTCCAGGTACAAGGGGGATGTTTCCCCAACGGGAGTCAAATCCCCAACAATCCCAAGCAGCAGGTCCTGCAAACCACCAGTTGATGCAGCCCTGGCCCTGCCCTTTTGAGGCACCTGCCTATGCATCAAAGCTGGATACTGGTGGGCACTGGCATAGTCCTGACACGATCGCGGGAAACACAAGCTTTCCCCATTCCTCCTGATGTCACAAGGGTCAACACCGAAAAATTTTGGTGAAGATAGCGGCACAGGATGATCTGGGGGACTTCGTCAACTACAAAAACGTCTTGGGGGAGTCTCGGCCCGGCTTGTACAGGAACCTGACAAAGTCATCCCTTAGTCACCCCTGGCCACGATTTCAATGCCAAATCGCCATGGCAAAACTGTTTCCAAGAAGTCATCACCAGTCACCCGCGGGAGCTGGTCCCTATGGAATGCTGATACCCAGTGCAAAGACCAATGGAACGCTAGTTCTGAAAGAGTGTGGGCTTGATTGATTTACATCCGCTTCCTGCGTGTCAATCCCAATGGAATGCTGTAGTAACTCTGCCACCAACTTTAGACACATCAGGTGACTGGACTTGAGGCGACGGAGGTGGACGAAAGGTAGAGGTTGGAAGACTCTGAGCAGGAGCAAGCAGCCAGCAGCAGCAGCCAGCAGCAGCAGCCAGCAGCAGCAGCTTCCTGTACTGCTTCCTGTAAATGACTTTGTTGCTTCCTGTACTTGTCTCGCATGTATGTGGAAAAGTCCTTGTGAACTGCTTGCAGGACCCACTACAGAATAAGAAACTCATTGCTTCAGCAGGCATTATTAACCCCTTGTGAGTTGCCAGTATAGCGTTAAAACACCTTTCGATGAGAGCCCCAGCATACAACCTAAAAGTAGGTCCCTTTCCAACCAACAGAGTTAGCTTGTGTTTGGGAAAAAGAGACAACTGTCCGCAGAGCATTCCCCCCAAGGCAGGGTAGCAATACCTCAAAAAAAAGTGACGACATTGTCTATTGCCTGTAAAGAAGTTCCTGAGTCACTTTGCCATTGTTCCGCACACTGAAGGTCGTTGAAGATGCTGTTCTGACGCTTCTTCACTCCCTTCATGAAATTAAATGAACATCATCAAAAGGTCCAAACCAGCATATTCCAGAAATATCTGCACACAGCGAGGCCGGTCAAAATGCTCATCCAACGCCGACCTCCTGCTGGCACAACAAAACAAACAGTCGCATGATGTCACATGATCTTGGACACTGTTGCGCATCTCTTGCAGTTGCACACAGCAACACAAAACCATTTGAGTATGGTGTATCACCAATGCAACAATGGCAACACATAACCTAACATATGTATATACATTTGTGCATAGGTAAATTAAAACAATGTATCTGTATATATGAGTAACAAATCGATTTGACTACGCCAGAAAGTAAAACCATATAATGCTAAAGTCACTCAACGTGGAAGTTGATTTTGGGAGGGTGGGCTCCATCAAATACCCCGGGGAGCTCCAGATACATTGCTCCAACTTGTGATGCTCATTCCAATACATTAAAAGTAAGTGTCCGTGTTTGTCCGATTGAGAAAGAACACCACTATATAATCCAAATTACATACATGCCAAGGTCTTTCAAATGGATATTCCAGGTGCACGGTTGGGACACCCCACCAGCGGGTCGCCGACGAAGAGCAAGCAGTCGTCTGGCAGCAAAGCCTCCTGAGGCGACAAAGGAGGTTTCGAACGAAACGTTGACTTTCGGTGCAGGTTGGTGCAGTAACGCAAGCTGCATGGAAGTTGTATGTACTATAAGATGTACTACTATATATAGTTTTATCATGTTTTATCTACTTCCCCAAGTGTCTTGATATGATCTGGTACAGAATGTGTAAGACCTAGCTCGAAATCCCCTTGCACTAGCCGACCAAATGCCAGGCTCGGACAAAGGGGCATCTCGCATGGAACCATGCGTTGACACACTCTGGCCCACCATACTCGGCCTAAAGCACCAAAACACTGCCAGATCGCAGCATGATGACCAACTTCCAGCCTCCACATTGAACCACTCACCAGTCTGAAGATCTTTCACCTGGTGAAGGAAAGAGGCTCAGTCTAGCTCCGTCTTCACACGGTGTTTCATGCAACAATTCACATGCGCTCTAGAACTGCTCAAACATGTTCAATAAGTGCCCTTTGTTACGTTCGTAGCTTCTTGTTACTATAGTAGTATGGCCAGGAGCTACTGGTAGCGTCCTTGCTCCGTTCGTAGCGATTCCCTTTGTTGCTAGGCTCAAGAAGGCTCAAGGAGACCTGACTGAACTGGACTGAGAACTAGATGAATGCCTTGTGTCCGAGATTTGACAACCGCAGCCCTCCTTATTCAAGTGATTTCCTCAGAACTTGAAACACGAAAAACATAAGAATCAAAGCAAGTTAGATCCTCTGACGATGGCCCCTTAACAATGCTCAATCGACTCAATTCGTCCAAACCAGGTACCTAATGTTACCGTAATTGGAAGACGAACGCACTTCAACACTGAATGAACCTCCCAAATTTCCGACAGAAACGAACACAGATCCGTTTTATCCGTGTCCATCCGCCCCGCTCCTCGCTCTCTCGGTGCACGTCCGCTCCCGCTCCTCCCTCTCTCGCCTCGAGGCCGGGTGCGGAGCTCCTGGGTGCCAACGTGACCAGCGAGGAGTCGGTGTGCGCTGGGTACCTCGGATGGCCGGGTAAGAACGGCTCGAACGGAGCCGACACTGGGCATCACGGCGGTTTCAGCCGTTGAGCTTTTTGAAGAAAGGAAGGTGCGATGTCCAAGATCAGTTGCTTCAGCGAAATACCGGGTGTGTGATTTCGTTTGTGGGATGTGACCTGATGTGGCAGGGTACTGGTTTCTGCAGACAAGGATTGCAAATGTTGAAGGGATCTTGAAAGACATGTTACACTGGGATGATGATGGTTATAGTAAAGGCCTTGTCCACAAGTAGTGATTTGCTTGTTTACTGACTGTTACAGGTGAAAAACTGGGACAGACCCAAGCCATGTTGTTCGTTGTGCATGAATGTTGGGTGATATCGTACTGCCTTGGTCCGATCATCGAGCTTGTCAAGAAAACCTTGCAGATCCTTGCAGAAACGTCCACTCTACAGCCTCACACGCTGCTTGCCATCACCAAGCTTGCCATTGGAGTGTTCAATCATGTCCTTTCTCAAATTGTTGGTGCTTTGGCCACATCTGTGGTGAGATGGGGTCTTCTCGGGCATGTCTGCCTCGATGCCAAACTCTCTGAGCTTCTAGCACAACGGTCTGTATACTTTGAAGCTCTAGCCGCAACTTCAGGTAGGGCATCACAGATTTTCTGGTCACTCGGACGGCCTATTGAGGATGACAACAAGGCCTTCATCGCCTTCATCGCACCGCAGAGTGTGTTCACGTCGCACCGCGGCATCCCACGCAGCTCATCCGAGCTGCAACCGGCAGTCGTTCGACTGGTCCACTGCAGTGGTACCAAGAGCTGCGGCGAATTAAACTGAAGATGTTCGGATCCCCAAAGTAGGGGCTTGTGGCAGTGGTGGTGATAGACTGTTTTGATTAGGTCAGCAAACTGTTCGTGGAATGTTGGCATGCCGCTGGCACCAAGGACAAGCTTAACAAGCCAAAGCTTTACAAGTCCATTCACAGCCAGTTGCAAGGGAACATTTCCTTGCACCTTGCACTCCAAAAACATATAGTGTGTTTGTATACTGAGTACTGGTGACTAAAAGATGCAAGACACATCTCTACTTGGACTATGCATGGTCATCTGCTGAGTCGTGCGTTTCGTTTTCGTCGATCCAACCCGCGGAGGCGAACGGCTGAGCCTCCGGACATGCCAGGAGCCTGGGACCAAAGAACTCGCAGATGGCCCTACCGCAGCTGTCCACCGGTCAAGCCACCGGTCAAGCCGGTCGGGAGATCCGGCCGATTTGGGGCGTTTGACCACGTATTGAAGGCGGGATTCTCTGTTGATATTCCGGTGATGTGGTTGGGCTCCCTACTGGCAAAGTTCAGGTTGTAGCTGAATTAGGCGCCTCTACCCAACGATATCCCATCTGAAAAGCGAGATGTGAATCACACGTGGATGGTCATACGGATCCTTGGGGTATCGGATGATGTTGTTTGGGAATACCCGAATGAACAAAACGAACACACCACGATGAACATGCTCCGTGCTTCACAATACATCGACCGAACGGGCATCAGTGACGTGGAAGAAACGATCATCCCAAAGCACCATTCATCCGGCCAAGGTGGCCAGCGGTCACCCAGGGCATCTCTTGCATGGGTACTGCATATATTAATCAAATATATGTGCAACACATTGTATATATGTGCATGATATGGCATTCTATGGCCCTCTGATGGTCTCAGCCCCAGCCCTACTCCCAACCCTCTGTGCAAACCGTCGTTACCAGCGGCGCGCCAGCTGCACGGTGACCGTCTCCGATGCTCGCTGGTGCAAGACCGCCTCCGGTCGAAGCAGCGTAAGAGTTGGCTGGCCAAGATGTGATGTCGTGATCATGAAACATCGAGCGAGTGCCATTTATAGAACCCTCCGTAATCTTCCGTATGAGGGAATTCGGAGGTATATGGAGGTATGCATTGTAGTATCGTGCAACTGTGTTTGTTTGGATTGGGAAGTTGCTAGTAGATCGAGGACCTGGTAACCAATATGTAACTACGGAACATGTGTGACCTACAACAGATCCCATCACGGCCGATGGGCGGAAGTTTCAATAGACATAATCGTTGCTTTCTGATGCTGCTGTTTGTGCTGCTGTGCGCCTTCTGTGCAGAGAGGATACATGTGCAGGTGAGAACACCACCTGACACAACAACTCAAGTTCTGCAGCTGTGCCATGTCGTGTCCAAGGCATGGTTCAAGAAGCACCACACAGGATGACACGGAGACTTATGCGCAAAGGTTCCGGGTTCTCCCTACCAGTGGCTTTCAGAACCATCAAACACGTAGTTTCATAAACACTAAAGCACGTGTCTTTCAATTAGGCGCTGAAAGTTAAGTTCATCTGTGAACTGTGTGAACTGATATAGACTCTTGATTCATCAATAGCTGCCCTCAATGGATCCCTTTTGAGTGAGTCACCTCTTCGGTCTGGAACGCGAAAGGAGGACTCCGTGAGTCTCGGACGTCTGTCACCTGGCCACCTGGCTCCTCCTACCGTCCGTCCCCTCGACGTGTCCCGCGGCTGTCGGTACCACACCTCAGGGGCACCGCTCAAGGACACCACGGCCGTGTCCGCGTCCGCGTCGGTGACGCAGCCCTGAGCGTCCGGGTTTCAGTGTCGCGGTGTCATGGGTTTTTGGGAGAGTCCCCGGCGATTTTTCGTGTTTAATTATTGAGACACAAGTCCCATCTGCATCCATCTGGTCTATAGTGTGGCAGAAGTATGCTGCTTCTTGTCTATAAGACATAGAAAGTGAGATGGGAATCTGGCCCCAAAAAGGCCTTCAAACAGCTATAGACTCATAAATACTATAAGTCCTACCAAATGAGAATCCAAAACGGATTTCGGATCACATCGACGAACACCTCTGAAACCCGCATATTGAAGCCCAGCCACAGCCCGCGTTCGTGGCTCGCTCCGTCGCCCCGCCACTCCCTCCGTCCTCTGCTGCGCCTTGAGACCGTTCAGCGAGGCCTCGGCGCCTTGGAGCCCCACCAAGCGCACCTGACGGCATCAACCGTTCGGCGACGTCCTGGGACGCGTTCGAAGGCGTCCGAACCGGCGATGGCACTCCGAAGCGAAACAGAAGCGACGTGACGGTGACGAGCTTTGCGGAGGCTGGAGGTCTATCGCTGGTGACCCGAGAGTACTCTTCAGTCCGAGGGTACTGTTTCAGTCGCGGGAGTTCGTCAGGGTCTGACCATCTGATATCTGAAAATCATGAAACTGCAACCGCGGCCTTTGTCTTTGGATGAGTCGAAGGCCAACGACTAGAAACACGGTTGCCGTTCTGTGAACCACCTGAAACGACAACCGACAAAGCAATACAAATGATACACAAAAGGCACATGCTCAAATGTTTGGCGCCACGTTTGTGTCATAATTCACCAGCCCATCTAGATGTTTGATGCTATAACATGACGATTTGGTAGGTGTTGCAGGCACCAGGATTGAGAACCCATTCGACCTGCGTGTTGATAGGACAACATAATATTTTGGGCGGTTGGTGGTACAAAATAGAGGACCCTTCGACAAAAACCTAAGTGATCATTCTTCAGTGAAAAAACGATGTTCGTCACAAAGCGGTCAAATCTGCTTGGTTTTGATTACGAGATCTTCAGGAGGTCATATTGCTCGGATTTCGGATCTATCTGGTTCTTTTTTGGCTTTGGCCATGTTCACGATCGCCAAAGAAATCACCTGAGTCCCGATGAGCTCCAAAGATTTGATCAGGGGAGATGCAAACTAGAGTCCAATAGACATAGGCAAAAAAGGCCTTCCCATTGCTGAAAACAGGCTTCACCCAGAGGCTCATTGGACCCTCATAGCTGGGGCCTAGGGTTTTGACCCTCACAACCGGCAGTTGGACATCAAAGATGTGGCAACTTGAGGCTTCATGACGATTTGCTCGCGTCAAATGTATCCCCGCATCTTCCGCCCAGTGGCATGCGTGCCAATGGCTGGTGCCCTCGCTGGTGCCTCACATCCGCAACTGTCAACGGGTCTCAAGCCCACCCTTCTCGACCGCTCGATTGCTTAGGCCAAATCAAAACCCCTTAGGCCAAATCAGAATCTCCTCCCAACCTGAATTTGGTCGACGAGTCGACTCGTTTCGGATCCCATTCATCGAGCAAGATCTTGTGTAGATTGCCAGTTTGCTTCTGCAACCCCAAAAGTCGCTTGATGGAAGAAACATCAAAAGTGATGGAATGTTCCGTGGTCTGTCAGAAGATCTGATTTGGCAATCGGGTTGCCAATCTAAACGTAACAAAGCGTTCCCAGTACATCACAGTACAAGGCTCTAGAAAACATTGGTGCGTTCATCCCAGAAGAACAAAACAGAGAATCCAAGCCGGCACATGAACGATCCAGTCGCCATCCGGTCTAGCCAACGGGTGTCGGGAAGGGTCGCTAGACCGTCGATCGAGCCGTCGACTGCGACGCCTGGAGATCTCCATCTCCCCGACTCTCCAAGGGCCGATCGTAGTGGATACACCTCTCTCCGCCGGTGAGAAGAAGGCCGAGCACCGAGGGCCGTGCCCTGTTCTCCCGGGGGCGGTTGCCGGCACGGGGGAGAACGGAGAAAAACACCACCCACCAATAAAGCAGCTTGGAAAAACCACTAATTCAAGTTGCTGGCTTCAAGTTCGGCCTATCATTGGACTTCCTGGGAGCGCCTTCGCATTTGCATTTAAAAAGCAAGGAAACACCAGGTGTCTCCAAGGTAGTTGCAGTCTCGTCTTGCTTTCTGTTGTGTCTCCGATGTTTTCTTGGTTCACACGTTTGACAGTTCACCGAACTCCACCTGTTGTTGGATTTGAGCTGATCCATGGTCGTCCACGGGAGATTGCTTTTCCTGCTGTGCTCTTCAGCACTGCATGGAGCTGCCCCAGTTGACGAATGATCCAAAACGCGACTTATATATATAAACTCTTGATTAACAAGTCCCGTACAGTAAATCCGATGAATAGATTTTACAATCCAAATGGGAGGTGTATTTATCAAAAATCTAAATTTAGAGAAGAGCTGCGGAAAATATGAAGTCCAATCCCAGCCAGGTTCAGTTCTTCACACAATCTCCAGCAGGCCCAGTGTTTTCGGGAGTGCCGCCACACAACAGGAAAAGCACAGTCACGGAAGAGCAGGTCCAGGTGTAAAAGTCTAAGTTTAGGAGGTCTCTGTTGGGACTTATATTAATGGATCATAGATACCAGTGTCGTTCAAACACGCCTGAAACAACCCAATTCCAGTGATTCAAAATCTGGGCTCTAAGCCGATGTTGATGCGTACTGATTCCAGAGTGCTACTGCTACCCTTCAGCTTATACCCCTTCTGTCGCTTCAATCCATAGAGACCTGATTCGTGATCATTCAACAGTTGTAGAAATTCTATAATGCAACTGACTACGAAACGTAAAGAAAAGAACAGTTGTATTTAGTATATATATATATATTTAGTAGTAGGTGTTCATCCATCATGCTTCTTTGACATCTAGGCTTAGCTCGTCATTTTTCGGTCGACGGCACCTCATGGTGGAGGAGGTCTCGCATGGCATCTGCGCCAAGTCGATCCCCAAGTCACGGCCCACCTGGAAACCACATGGCAATACCCAGGTCAAGGACCTGTCAAGGACCTCACAACGGAACAATACGTCATTGGATCTCTAGACCTTGGTCCTGGGACCGGCAAACCAGGATTCCCATGGATTTCTGTGATCGAAGCTACAACTGTGAATGCTTCTTCTCTCACACATCCTTCCAAAGAACAGCTCCATGTAACGGTCAGACTGGCCTTTTCTTGGGCAGCGGCATGGATTCGGTGCCAGTTTCGGGGTGTGAGCTTGCGTTTGTTACACGGTTCCCAGGAACATCCGCATATGGAACAGTTACATTGGACATGAGGAAATAGGAATTAAATGAATATGCTTGTCTTTATTCCAGTCCGGATTTGGATAGTCTGGACATTTCTTTGGAGGTGACTGTACTCGGAGTTCCTTGTTACCGTTTCCTTGTTTGTCGTGGCTGCCCGCCTCCGTGCAAACGGCACAGGAAATCCGCTCCAACAGAGCAAAGGCGGGCATTGCCTGACAAGCGGGGCGTAGGTTCCGGACAGGGGTCTATGGTGTTCAAAGAACCAGGAGCTTTCCTCCAAACCGGCCCAGTTCCATCAAAAACCGATGCTACTCAGTAAGCCATGTCCGATGTGAATCACCGTTCCGTATATTTGTCTAGTCATCTATTTCAAGGAGTCTGCATGGGAGCGGTTGTTTGACAGTGCTTATGTGCTGGCCAAAGAGCAACATCGGCGCACATCCATCGAATCGAGCTGGCATTGAAGTCTGAGTCCCAGCAAGACAGTTGCAAAGGAGTTAACTATCCCGTTGAATTCGCATAAAGTCATTCTGCTTAGTCAAGAAAAGCAAGCGCCAGCCCATTGCTGCTTATAATAGTATTTTTGTACTTCTGCGCACGCTAGCTATGCAAACGTTGTTCTGCCGGTGAACCCCTCAACACCGAAACAACATCTACCAACAAAAAGGGACGGCTTAGCCCGCCGAACCATGTGGGTTCCAACTCACGGCGCTCCCAGCGGCTTCCGCACTTTTTCACTCCGCCCTCCGCTGCGTCAGTCCGGTCAGTCCGTGGGTGGTGCCACCGCCGAGGACAGCAAGGATGCCAACTGATCGACCTGGTCGACTCGATCGGAGAAAACCGAAGGACTCCGCCGGCCTTTCCCACCCACAGCGAAACAGCACAAAGCACAAACAAACCAGGGGCTCGGCTCCGGTGCTTCTTTTTTTGGGGGGAAACCCTTTCAAGGCCGCCCCGAAAAAAACAATGGCCAAAATGGTCAGGAACGAATTCCCTTTCGCCTGGTTGATCGTTTCGACCGACCCTTTCGACCCGTTCGGTGCATCGACGTGAAGACCGACCTCCTTGGCGTCGGAGTCGGTCCGACTCCATTCGAACACATTGCATGTTGAAACAGCAAATACCTATATACTATTAAACCTACTATATGTGATAGTTACAGTGAATAGTTGGTCAAACCCTTCCTTATCTTCCTTCATCTCACTCTGAAGCCCCCTCCTCTATGCACCAGAAATGCATCGCCTCTCCTCTCCGCTTTCGCAGACCGCGCCGCGATGCGGCATCGCGCGGCTAGCGCTCGGGTGCCCGGACGGGGCGTTCGCTGCTCACCTTCTTGGCACTCTTCAGCCAGCGGTTCAGCGCACTGGCCTCAGACGCCGATTCCGCAGCGGTGGGAGCGGTTCCGCGAGGTCGGGGCATGGCGGGGCCGAGGGCCCACGACCAGTCGTCGCTGTAGGGAGGTGAAGGGTTTCGGTATGTTTCGGTGTATCTGTTCAATCAGCCTTAAGAGGCCCATTGAAAGAAAAACACATGATATTTTTGAATACATGGACATGGATGGCATGGTTTGCTTTTCAATTTTAAAACACTGATGATCCTTGGAGGCGGCGCCGAGTCGAAAGTACACTCGGCTTGAAAGGGCGCCGCTTGCAGGACCAGATCGGTCGATCCGACGGGCTGAAGTAGTAGCGGTGGGCTTGTGGGGTTCCAGCGAAGTGGGCAACTACTTAGTAAGTAGTGGCCGAGTTGAGAAGTCGCCGAGAAAGCCCTGATAGTGATGGGGGGAGACCCAGGAAGCTTCATGCGCTTCTTCGAATGGTTCCATCATCTGCCACAAGGCCGGCATCGTGCCAGGTCAATCTGGGAAAACGAATCCAAGAAGTAGACCATCCAGTTTGCTGAGTCCCGGAGTCCCGGAAGCCAGTTCTGTAGAAATGCTATGATATGCTTGATTTAACTATGACAGACCATCCATGGTAGACCATTTATATATGGAATACTTACATACACGGACCCCTCATTCATGGACCTAATATGACCGAATTATGTAAGTCACTGGTCTGGGTAGATCCGGGTGCTGGTCACCCGTACGTCACCTGTACTTAAGCTGGTCACATCCCACGTCGTCTGAGTCTCTGGCCGCCTGCACCCCGAAGGAGCTGCTCGCCCGCTGACCCTGCTCCGTCTGACCCTGCGTGCAGATAGACGGTGTTGAGTAGGGAAAATCCCACGGACCACCCAGCCAATCGAAGTTCAAACCAGGAGCCTTCAATCAACTCGTTTCGACTATCGCGATCATTTAGTGGACGAGTGAAGAAACGACCGTGCAGGCAGCATCTGCATGCTGAACCATCCCTATATCATCACCTTGAACTTGCCACCAGGGTCAACCAAAAGAACTGATGAACATCACGTTGGCTGTACATGGCTGTACTCAGGACGGACTCCTTTACCCCCCTATGGTAATTAGGTGGATTCTGTTTGTTGTAGTCATTGGACCAATTCAAGTGGCTATGAATCAGGTGGACCCCCAAAACATGCACTATCACTACAGCCTGTACAATGTAGAAAGTGGAAGTTCTGGGACGATAGTCCACTCGGCTCGAAGCGACGCGCCTGAATTGCTGAGAGCTGCGTTTTGGGCACCGTCACCTACGCAGGGAGGAAGCGGCGGCGTTTTGGGGCAGACATTCCTGCGACCTTCTTTGGAACGCATGGTGGGTTCACCCTACATCTTTCATGTGACATGTTTGGACTGTTCGGTTGTTCGGTTGTTCTCTCTTTGCGGGGCACGCCCGAGGCGTCACGCCCGATCTACAATATGACGTCAGTGGCCGGCAGCCTGAGGGCTCGGATCCAGACATTAAGAAACTGAGTGCAGTGCAATTGGCCAAACAGTGGAGGGTCTGGCAAGTTGCGTGAACCAACGGTTGACAAAGCCAAAGAATCACTTGGATCATCAAACATCTGTATTGCCCCCCCAGTGGCATCCACCGGCCAAGCAACAAACTAGCCAACCAACCGGCATTGCGTTGTGCATTCTACGGCCCTCTCTGCAAGTGGTCAGAAGCTCCAAGCAGACCGGTCAGATCCCGCCTGATTGGGCGCTGCTCGCAGGGCCCGTGTTCCGACCTCAGGTGGTGGGTGCGGAACACGAAGAACACATCGTTCAGAATCGGACGATGTTAACCACCCCATTGGGAAAACCCCATGGTTTTTACCAGATTGAGAAAGTGATCGGATGAGTTTTAGGTTGGGGATTCTGAACACCCATAGGTTTTAGATTGGGATTCGGTATGTTCGCCTCCTTGACCTGGATGATTCTCTCACTGGTCTGCGGCTGAGGATGTTCTTCTACACACCAGCTGCAGAACACATCACCACTTACTAGCTCAAAGAGCTTCGCATAGCTACGCTCTTCTGGAGTTTGCCTGCCGGGGTTCTCAGGTTCTCAGTATTTCTGTGAGCACTGGATCTGGGAGTCCTTTCGAACAAAAGACAGACCCTTTGGTATGGCAGACCCATTTGGTGCATGCCGACACAATGGATATCGCCGGATACGATGTTTGCGTTCATCCTCTCTTGCCCAACTACACAACCAAACCATAACAAACGGCCCGCTCGTTCGATCCGCTGCCCAGACCGAACGATTCGAACGACAACAGGCGCGGAGGACCGAATGAAACAGACCTGACCGATCAAAGGAGCAGACTTGATCCTACTTTCTCAAGGGGCAATACAAAAATACGGTTATAACTTAACTGAGCAAGGAAAACTATTTGCTATTTGCATATTGCCCAACAATATCTAGACTAGTGCAAGTCGTACCTCGGCTGCCTCTCTTTCCCCTTTCCATGCATCATCAAATATCATCAAGCATGCACCGCACCAGAGTCCTTTTTTTCAGTTTCAGAAGGGCATGCCATGGGGCCTGCATTTTGGAAATCTGTATCTAGACTAGCCTTAAGTTGTATGGAATTGCACTGAGATTGTTTTGGCAATTACCTAAAAACAAACAATAGAACTAAAAAGAATCCTTGGGATCCCCCCAAAAAAACAATCACACCAAAAATATCAAAACACTTCTCAGAGACTCTTGGCAGGACACCCCCCTTCCCCGAGACTTCCCCAGAATTATATATATTTTTTAGTAGTTGTGATTCATTTGTAGTCCAATTTTAATTATATAAACTCATATTCAAATCTGATTGAGTGCCACATTCTCGTCACTCGATTGAGCCCAAAAGACACAGGGCACTCTTAAAACACAAGAATCCTCTGTCAAATCAACACCTGACCTCCCTGCAAGGGGGAGTCCCTTAAACCATTTCTGTCAAGGGGGTGCACCACCTCCATTTCATAACGGATATATCAACACCTCACACGCCAAAAGGGTCAATCGGAAGCGCCTGCCTTCGACATCTCGGTGCCAAGCGTCTTCGTCCGCGTGACCGGTGCCAATCCACGAGGCAGCAGCTGGCACGCTGGAAAGAGCTGCTTGCTCCTCAGGAGAGTCGACCCCTGGGTGACACAAAAAAAGCAACGAATAACGCAGATGGACCACACATGGACCACGAACCACCATACCTTTGAAATCCGAAGTTAAGTTCAACCAAAGAACGTGGAATGATCCCGTGCAGGAACCGAAGCTGCACCATCGAAACTGGAAGAGAAAAGCATGTGTTGTCACTTCTGCATTTAGGTGCACACTCTTAAAACGGCCTAGCTTGCCAAGAACGGGCCTTGATCTTAATGGGCGAACAGTTTCTGTCGCTTGAGACTATAGCTGATGTTCAAGAATCAAAGGTCGCCCATCCTGTGGGGCGAGCTTGGCTGATTTGGTCAAGACCTAGCTGGTTTTCTGTCCCTAAGACTTCCAGTGTTTCAAAGCGCCCATCCGCCGCGACCCTCGGCCGCCACTGCTCCTCGAGACCTTGGAGCGCTGCCTCATCACTGATACTGCAGCTCGTGCCTTGCCAACCAGCGTCGCAGTCGCAAATGCCCACCTGGCAAAGTGACCACACATATGTCTTTTTTTTAGGTCTCTATGGTGTTTGAGGCGTTTGGCCCCTTTCTTGCGGTTTAAGTTTAAGATGTTTTAGGAGTCTTGCCAAATTTCTAGGCATACTCTCCCATGTTGAGAGGTGTTCTTGCTGGGTAGAATCATAAAGGACTGTTTTTTCACTCTTCACTGATCTTCACCATCACATCTCGCATCTCTCTGTACGCCACAAATGCTGTACCCCTCGGATGCTGACAACACCCAGTGACTCTTATCAGTTTTACGCCGAGGCCGTATCGAGCCCGGCGGGCCCGTTGCGAACGCCCGGGATCCACTTGGGAGGGATCCGTTTCTCGCGACGGTCTCCCCGCGACGGTCGTGGCGGTCCGCGCGTCTGGAGCGCGGGGATCGAGGACCGGCCTTGCAGATGCCATGTCCGCAGCCTCCAGGGCACGTCACGGTGTGCTGCTCATCTTCTTTGCTCACCTGGCCAGAGATGGTCTCGGGGGGCGGAAGAACAGTCAAGTTAGAGATCGCCGGCGTGTGGAACTGGGTGACTGTGTGACTGTGTGTGTTTGGTTTGTGTCTGGGAAACAGAAGGCCCAAAGGGATGTGTTTCTTTTTTTCATGGAATTGCATAATTACTGTATATACATGCATATACAGTATACAGTCATTGTGGCAATTCCATCAATGTATGTCTGGTGGATGCTTTTATCCATCTGGCCAGCTCAGACCGAGGTTTCACCAGTACAAGGGCGCCAAAGACACGATGTGTGTTGACAAGGCCCCAAAGTCAATGGAACATGATTGATACACATCCAGAATCAGATGATTAGCAGTTCCAAAGCCTTCACTCCCTGAAAGTGATGTCCTGAATCTGCTGACTCAACCTGTCCGAATCGCTCGATGATTCCTTATGAACTGCCATAGAGGTCTCAGAGTGGCAGAAACACTTTCCAATACACCATGATCCGGATCTTTTCTATCCTGACTCTGGTACGTGGCGCTTTGCTCAGATCCAAAATTATCCAAATGTCAGCGTCCTTACGACAAACTCTGAAGGGACTAGTCAACTGGTTTGGACTGGCAGTCGAAAAACATCTGTGGATGAACAGCAATTAAACCCTTGAGGTTTATGTTGTACATCTAGCAACGGTAGTCTGCCCCAGCGAAAAAAAGAAAAAAAGGCCCTTTTGGCGATTTTAACTTCTCTGGGAATTTCCCGGTCTCGGACCTGGACGCTGCCGCGGTCGTTGGATCCCTCGTTGGCGCCTGTTGAAGCTTCAACTGCAGGGGCTGCTCGAGCTGGAACGCCTCGTCGCAGGCCTCGGGATCGAAGACTTCGCACGACGCAATGGAGCCTTCACTCGTTTTGGACAGTGGGGAATCTGGGAGATTCAAGACCAAATTAGTCAATTATATAAGATGGTCTTTCTTCCCATCATTGAAAACCATCCTGGCGATATTTGTCTTGATCAAGACCCAAACCGTCTTCCTGCGAGGGAGGCTCGGAAAGACAAGAGTCACACCAGCTGCACAAAAAATCGGAAGGATGGGAAACCCAAGCAAGTGGGTCTCTGCGGAGACGGATGGCTCAACCCAAAAAACGCGCAGGAGAGATGTTTCTCAACACTACGGGGTGAACCGCCAAAGGACGGGCTTCCCTTTGTGACAAAATAGCAAACTGAAACACATAGAATTCATCAAACAGCCAAAACACCAAGAAGGTTACGCTATTCCACCATATTCCACCAGTCACTTGTTTTGCATATTTATAACATGCATTCACGATCATGCTGGCCAACCTGACTGGACAAATATATAACAGCGCGCAAAAAATCATTGAGGCTCTTACCTCACCGCGATAGCCCTCGTGGCATTTGCACCCATTGGACCTCAGTGACAGGTCTTGCAGCACTCTGGACGATAGAATATTATAGAATACTATCCCAAACATGACCTATGGGACTGCCGAGTGCTTTTTGGCCAGTTTGCTTTTTCAACCAATGGACGCCTCGTTCTTCCAGTCCCGAGTTCTTTTGTATGATGCACTCAGGATTCCAGCCATGTTTTTTTTTGGGGAATGATCAAGAACATTGGGGGGTCCCGTCCCGTCCCGTCTGCCACGAGTGCCACGAGCTTGAAGGGCTCCTGAAGCATGGCCAGGCACCCTTCAGCAACCAGGGAACGCATTTGGAGGAAGCACGTTGTTTTCTCATTCTGACTGAGCTGCTAAGTGGACCATATGTCCACAGTGACAGTCACCAATGATGTAATGGTAGAAATCTTGAGTTATTCAGACCATTCCGGAACATTTCATACATTTCACTGGGCATTACTTTTGGTGTCATCACATCCTTCGAACAAACACAGAACAAAACATGCTACATACTCCCACGACCCAGTCAAGTAGGGCTCATCTCTCTCTACCTCGCCGAGTCTTCCCACCTGGAGCCAAGCAACTCGCAAACACCATGCCCGGAGCACTGGTTTGCACAGCTGCTCGTAGACTGACCCTGAGCAGTTGCTACTTCCGAGCTGTGAAGGAAAGGAGATACGCCAGCATCTCCCACCATGTCAATGTCTCCTGTCTTCTTAATGATTTGAACCGGTTTAGGCGCAACACTTGTAGGAAGTTGCTAGGAACTCGTGGATTCCTTCAATCCCTGTCGTGGATGCAGTTGCATGATACAAACAAATGGGGAACCAGTCATCAACTTGCAAGCCTTGTTTCCCATGTTACAATAAAGGTCCCTTGCTCCATTGAGGGCCACAATGCGTGTTATCTTTAAAATGTCATGCAGAGATGTGTCCATCAGTATAGACGTACCCTTGAAATTTGCTAAGTTGTGTAAGTTGTCTTATACAAGCTGGTTGACAACCACATGTAGGGTTGTGTCCTTCCAAAACCCGGTGGATTGCTTTGATTGCTAGGCCTCGATGACCTCGGATGACATGGTGAGTTTTTTTTTTTTTTTTTTTTTCGCTTCCAACGGCCCTGTTTTCAAGAGACCAGGCCAAAGGACAAGACTTTTTTTTCGGGGGCTAAACGAAACCTACATATACCTTATGGGTATATCCCATTACCAGTCACAGTGGAATACAGTGGTTCAGTTGGCCGACATCTCTAACATAGTGATGTTCCTCTTTGTCTCAACCGGAAATCAGGTTCATTGGGACACAGATCATATACCTGTCTCATCCTGTTTCAACACATCAAACAAACAACAAAACACTGTTATGCTCGTTTCATGCGCTTCAAAACCGGTGTGATCGGTCGGCGGTGTCCACCCCGTCGAGTCCCAAAAGATCTGACCGCGCCTCGGTGAGGTCGACCAATGCAGGCTGCAAGTAGTCCTGTTGAACGGTCAAGGGACAACACGGTGTCAAGTACGTAGAAGCTCACGGATTTGGAGGGGGAAGGGATGGGAAGGAGGGGTATTGTTCATCTGGAGTCAAACTATATTAAGTTGGTTGAACAAACCTATAAACTGTTTGAGTGCTTCAGCTTCGGTGGAGCTGCTCTGAAGACTATTGACTGCTTGCTGGAGCCTCTCCTGGCAAGATGAGCCAGTCCATCCGTCATGACATTCACAGGTTCCATCACGACAGTCGCCGCGACTGTTGCAGTTCAATGGGCACGCCTGCGACTGTGCGTGGTCTGTGGTCAGTGCGGCCGGTCTCAACGAGGTCTTCAGACTCCTCTAACTTGCAACCAAAACCCACAGGAGCCAATCAAGTTCAGGACCTCCAAGGAGTGGTCAATGGACACCCGACCCCTAAGGGGCTATTCATGGACATCCTTTCCATGGTGCTGGGTATTGTTCAAAAAGCTCGCGTTTGCAGCCCAGTTCGCTGGGAAAACAAACACATAAAATCACAGGAACCGCAACTTCATGCAACTTCATGCAACACCAAATGGACATATGAGTTTCAATCTTTGAACCCACCCTCAATGAACGATGTTGAATGAACTCCCACGAACTCGTATCTTGGCCATCTTTCTCTGGTTGTCTTGGCAGGGGTCCCCGGTTCTCCAGATGACGTATCGGTCTTTGGTCCGCAAGTTCCAGCGACCCACAGGACTTCGCTCGACAAAATGCCTAACTCATCCTATCTCGAAACCCTGGCCGCAGAAACCAAGCTGCACATGTTTCAACCCGCTCTCTCCCTCTCTCTCGCGCGCTAGAAGCATCTTTACCCCAGGAAAGTAGTCTAAAGTTGCCAACCCCTGGGAAAGTATTTTGGAAGACCTTCCTTCAATCATCTTCAATCAAAAAGCACTCATTTCATTTCAGTGTTCCAGCCAGGCTATCCCAACAAATACATAGACGGGTAGATACGGGTAGACAATCCCAAGAAGACAAACAAGACATATAGAAGAAAAGGCAACATTGGAGATGATGCCTACAAAATGAAGGAAACACGGGCAAAGACCTACAGGCATGGGCGAGTGGAATAAATTTGGAACACAGTACATAGAAGGGCCGGGGCCCTAGCCAAAACTGCTGCGTCTGTCCTGGATGTTGTCACGCCTTTTTAGCCAGTGGTTCGCCCAGAAGAAAAGGCAACATTGGAAAGCCCATGGAAACCAGCGAATCAAAGAAGAAAGGACTTCCAAAATAACAGGGGTGGGTCCAGCCACATTCACGTTTCAATTCAGTAAGGGCCAACCTCAAGTCCATTCAAAATGGTGGGAGTCCAACCTCTTGCACACCTCGCCGCCTACCTCATCTGGCCTCAGAAGCTCCAATACTCACAGTGAGGATCAAAAAAGGGATCTCCAGCTCCGACCAGCTCCTACCAGCTCTCCCTTTTCACTCTGACCCCCTTTTTTTAACTGGGCTCTTGGAACCAAACCCGAACCACCCGGACCAAACCCGAACCGAACCGAGCACGAACCCAACGACCCTCCCGCCTTCGTGACGACCTGCGAGACCTTCGCAGACGGGCTCTGCGAGCTCTGCTTGGCCAACTCTGCGCTTTCGGCCGCGAGGCCTGCGAGCGGGGAGGGCAGGTGGGGGCCACGTGCCACGTTCCCAAAACAGCTGGAGAGATGTCCAAATTTGGCTTAATACAACTATTGAATGGTACTGATATTATATGATATGTTACACTTGTACCATTACAACTTGCAACATTCTTGCAACTTATGATGATTATACATCCGCCCCCCACAGAAAAGTGCATGGTTTTTTGAGCCAGCTTCACCCGTAATTTCTGAAGTTGTCACTCTCACTCACCGTTCACCTCCCAAAAGGATATTTCTGTTTCACCGCCCAACGGGTCATGCCGAAGTCATCTCTGGTCCTCGGTGAGCCGAGAAAATCCGCCTCGTCTCAGGAAGGCCAAAGAACTCTGGGTCTGGATCAGCTGGCTGCAGTCCTTCGTCGCTGAATTCTGCTGGGTGGTCGGACCCCGCAAAGTCCGAGTTAGTTCTTTTTGCTCTTCCCAGAAGAGTACGATGAACAGAAAGTGTCTTCCCAAATTTTGCCAAGCAAACTTGCTGGATCATGTTCTGTTCAGTCATTTTCTATCTTGATGTTCTCGCTATTGAAACATCCTCACTGCCAAGTCACCGGTGAGACCTGCTGGGGCCCAACCCTAGAGAGAGAGGAGACCTGGCAGAGTCGGATGCTGTACTGTGACTGGACGGCGAGTGGATGGCCATTGCTGGGCGACTCATGTGACTGGCAGCCGTTTCTTCACCTGTCACCCTTGACCCGTGGACCTGTGCCTGCAAACGAAAAAGGACTGTCCTCTCCACCATAGTTGGAGGAGCACTTGCATTGACCTGCATGAAAACATCTCTCGAAAGCGTGGCTAAAATGGGGTCGAACATCAAGTCCATGAGGGGCAAACCTGCAACACCTGGCAGCCATACCGCTCTGACTGCATCTGAATTGAACAGAGTTGATTCTGATCAGTGGGAGGCAATGCCAATGATGTCTCTAAACTTTAAACACCGAAGACTGTGGTAGCAAGGACACGTGATTTTGTGATGCTGGCCATGAACATGTGCTCCCCAGCCATCCGACAGTCCACCAAACAGTTTCGATATGATCGACCAAATCATCCCCGAGTATATTATATACTATATAGTCAACATACTAGACGACATACTCTCTCTCCCCCCCAAAAAAAAAATAAAACAAAAGTCATGTCTATCATTTAAGACACTCGTTCATGTCGGATCCTTAAACTCGTTACCCAAGAGTCTCACCGGTCTCTCCATCACTCTCACGTCCGACCCTTATCGGTTTGACTTGCCAGGTCCGGCCGGTGGAGCTGGGCACCCAGGTCATGGGGATGTTGTTTTAAGAATGGATTGAATGTTCAATATCCTATATTGAATCATATATACATTCATTGGGAAGTTGTCATGCACCCTAGAATCCGATATTATCCTATTCAATGCACTTGATGACTACAGGGCGAAGGTCAAACAAGTGCTCAGTCTGAAAGTTGCTGGTGCAAAACAAGCAAGTCGGCCGCCTATTGAAGCCATCATGGTTTATCCAATGAATCTTCCCAAGGTCAAGTCTTCGAGGAGGAATGATTACCCGTTTCTTTCTTGCGTTCTTCCTGTGCATACCGATACCCCAAGCGCAGAAAAGTCTTCCTCGCCGAAATCGCCGCTCAGTCTCGGTCTGGTCCGCCTGTGAGGCATTGCCCGTGCCCACTGCAATCATTGAGGCATCGTGGATGCTCACCTGTGCTCGGCAGTCCGCACGGTCTGCCTGTGTGCCCGCGTTGGCAACGCATGCGGTGGCGATGTTCTGCAGCTGTTGGCTGTGATTCTCCTATGATGCTGTGAAAACCAGATTGACAGAAGACCATTCACGAAATGGACACCATCCCAAATGCACTGCAACTACTTGTTTCTGGTGGCCCACGTTTGATTGATTCGATTTAGGTCAGCTTGCAACTTTGGAGCCTGAACCTAAAAACACCCAAAGCCCAGTCGAGTCGACGCCCATGTGAGTCGACGCCCAGTCGACGCCCAAGTGACAAAGGTCGCCATAGAAGCCGTCACGGCACATGCACTTCCCTGCAAGGCAAAGGCCCTGATTGCTGCAATCCATCTTGCAGGGGTGCATGTCAGCCTGAGCAAGTGGTTGAGAGGTGCTGACTGTAGACTGGAGCAGTGGCCACCCAACATAGGGCTACAGAATTGATGTGAAGCGCAGCTGCACGGCTGCATGGTATTTGGGTCGGCAGGGTTGATCCAACATGCAGAAGGTGAGTGATGCATACACGGTGGATCCATCCTGGAGTTCATGACATGGCAAACATACTTCCATTGCGTAGGATGTGATAGTTGGTGAATGCTTCTTCTCCTTCAATGCGCTTCAATGCTATGAGTGTGACGTGTAAAAGTGAGTAATCAATACCCACAGTACCACAGTTGTAAAAACAACACATAAAAACACACTGCCGCATGCAGTACGGAAAAGGGTCTTCACGCCCAAGGTCCCAACCGAACGCGGCTTAGGGCGGCTTCGTGGGACGATCGGTTCTGCGGCTCAATGCCACCAAATGGCCAACTTCCAGGACTTCCACGCAGTGATTTCGTTGGGCAACTGTCTTCAATGGGAGGTTGAGTAAAACAAGATCACCACGAATTAGTATATAGTAAGATTATAGAGATTATAAGATATTATAAGTATGTAATTCGACACTTCAAGCAAGGAGAGATCGTCTTCTTCCAGGCCCATCCCTCGAAGCACTTCAATCCCACTCGCCGCTCTCAGGCTCCAACGGCAGGAGGAGCCTGAGACTCGGCGAGCCAAACCGGAACCGGCGTTCGTTCTGAAAGCGATCTGAAAGCGTTCGTTCTTTTTCAGTAGACCTACAAAACGGAAGTAATGGAAGCACTAAGATACTTATAAGATTAACTCTTGTCTGGCCCATGAGTCACGGATTGAACTTTGGAGCACCGGCACGATCTTTTGAGAACTCGACAGTTTCGGGCCTCGACCATCACAGTTTGAGTGCTGTCACGAAGCATCTGCTAGTGTGCACATGTTTGCCATCTGGACCCCTGGAGCACGTCCGAATACAACATACTTGACTGTTACTTTCATTTGAGAAAATCACAATGTTATCACCGTCATGATACAAACCACACCAAACCACCAGCTTTCTCTAGCACTTATACTTCATGCTTGCTCTTCTTGTCGGGTCGGGCTGGCGGGTTTCAGGTCTGGGTGGTCTGGGTCAGAGGCAGCAAAGTCTGCCAGAAACGTCGGTGGAAGCGGAGGGATGCTTGATTCCCGATTCGGTACCTGATACAAGTTATAAGTTATCACCGTCATGATACAAACCACACCAAACCACCAGCTTTCTCTAGCACTTATACTTCATGCAAATGTATGCTGATGTTGCTCTTCTTGTCGGGTCGGGCTGGCGCGTTTCAGGTCTGGGTGGTCTGGGTCAGAGGCAGCAAAGTCTGCCAGAAACGTTGGTGGAAGCAGAGGGATGAGCTTGATTCCCGATTCGGTACCTGTTGGACTCGTACTCGTACCATCACATCCCGTAGACTATCTCGCAAATCCATGGTGCCAAGAGTTTCGAGGCCATTTGGCGGATTGGATGGTCTGAGGCGATTGGATGCCACTCAACGTGAAAAGTGTTGGATGAAAAGTACGCCTGCGAAAGATGTGGGGACCATGACGCTATGAACTTCATGATGCAACATCAAATCACTGTCATCCACAAAGGAGCTGAACTTGCTCTTGCTTATCTTGCTTATCACTCCCACAACAGGGACCTTCTCATGCATGCAACAAAAAACAAGCCTGCAACAAACCCTAAACCCTAAACCCACCACCGAAAAACAACCCTGCACCGTCAAAAGACCCAACATAAACCCACCTGGTGCCCCACGTCCCATGTCCACCCTCATCCTCTTCGCTCCATGGCCGAAATCGGGAACCCCTCCCCGCCTGCATCCCTGCGAACTCTGCGCCGGGAATCTCTGCCTGCACGAAACACCGTGGAAGTAGCGCGCTGGAAGAGGAGGGTTGGGCAAGAGTGCAATGGGCATGAACAGGTACAGAACAGCAGTAGGTTGAGTAGTTATTAAAACCAAAGCTCCTGACTTGACTATCAATCAACTTGAATACCCACACCTCATCCCAAACCAACATGACTTGAGTTTGGCCTACAAACCATGCGGCGCCTGACCCGCCACCCGCACCTGGTGCCGCCGAGCCCTGGCCACGGCGTGCTCCACACGCTCCACGGAGTCTCTGGTGTTCTCCAAGCGCGCTGCCGCGAAGAGCCTCGGCCGAGCCACAAGGGTTCCGCGAAGTCGAGAGCGACCGAAGGACCCGGACGTCCGCGATTGGTTCTTCGGGTTCGTTCTGCAAGAGTGAAATGTGAAAGATAGTCCTTTCACCTGGGGCAGTGCTTTGGATTGACGTGAAATAACTATGCGTCTTGTCCTACTCCAGGGTTCGTTCTCCACTGATGCCCTTCTCTGCGGACGGCGTCAATCTCCTTGGCGGTCCGGACTTGTCCGCAGCGGCCCATGCGTCCTCCGCTGCCTTGCGCGATTGTGCGAATGCCAAGGGCGATGTCCGCTGCTGCGTCTGCCGCAAAGGGAGTGGGTCCTCAGTGAAGCTGCATCATGAAAAGTGGGGCTGATGAAAAGCGGATGAAAAAGGAACTGTCACAATATTGGCAAGATTGGAATCTACTTCATTGGCAGTTGCTGAATTGACCTTTGGGAAGCCTGAAAATGGATGAACAGCACTTAACAGTGCATCACGACATGTTCGGGAGCCAAGTGCACTTCTAGACTTCATTGTCAAAAGACGCTGCACCGAAAGACAACCTGGTGAGCTGACATCGTCTTATCCCTGCCTTCAGTGCACGCAAAGCAGGCCACACAAAACGGGTCGATTTGGGAGAAACCCGCCTGCATCCCTGCCAACTCTGTGCGCGGAATCTCCTGCTCTTCACGTTCGAAGAAAACGTCGACACCGTGTGCACGGACAGGTACCCACGCCAGCGTAAGCAGCCGAACCGTTGTGTATTTTTGACTATCGGATGTGACCATGGATACTAGTGTGACTTGAGAGGAGGGAGACACGAAAGGTAGGACAGCGGGAAGAGAAAAGAACGCGAGAGGCAGGAACAAAAATGCAATGTTCGACATGGTGATTTATCCCCTCGGAGGCGACCTTTCGTAAATATATGTTCATTTGCACTCTAAATGTTCAAACATGTGCTCTCGAAATGTTCAAAAAGATTCTTAGGAAAACAAACTTGCCCCATGGCTCAGATCATCGGTGAGCATTGAATCGGAACATCATAGGATTTGAACTATCCTGAAACCATAAGAGGCTCACGAAAACGCTCCCCAGGAGAGAATTGACGTGCTTCACAAAACAAACTCTAGGTATGTATCCCCTCGGGGAACACCTTTCGTGATTAGAATTTCATATTCACTCTTTCTGAATGTTCAAGAGGGTTTCAACTATCCTGAAATCATGAGAGGCTCACGAAGACGTTCTCCAGGAGAGAATTGA